GGGTTTCAATATTGTTAGACTTTTTCAGACAGTAAGAGCTGCGTAGGAATCCTTCTGTGAACCATAGAAATAATAAATGCTGAGCCCATTGGAACATAATCTCAATCAGCAAGATGCCACTGCTTTCCAGATTTCCTCACAGGGGCCTGCTAATTCCATGCCAAAACTAGCAATGGATTTCTTCCTTCTAATCTCACCTAATGCCTTATTTGATTATTGTCACTGCTCTCTGACCATGCACTGTCCCTTCAGACTCTCATTACCCAACTGAGTCATTCGGAGGAGGCTGGTGTCTGCAGGACGTAGTCTAAGACCATAAACCACTGTGTTCCAAGTGAAAAGACAGAAACAGGAAAGAAGAGAGCCAGGGGAACATTCAAAGTTTTCTGGCAACTTCTATATCTGTTGGATTACGGATTGGAAGCAAACAAGGAACAGGAATATGAGTGGTCTGGAAGATCTCTCTAGTTGATCGGCAAAGGAGGGCTAGTTGGAGGGGAGAAACCAGGAGAAGGGTCAACGGGGCATTTCAGTACACCCTAGTATGGCATCGCCTCTGCCCTGGCTATACATTATTCTATGGTGAGTGAGATTTTTTCCCCTGATTTTTCTTTTTAGCTCAGAGGAAATGGAAAATATATACTCATCGGGTGACTTCTATATCAAATCCTGGAAGAAGCCAGGGGTGGTGTATTATGTATTTGTGGTGGGATAGACTAGGGTAGATTAGACAAAACATCTTATCTGAGGCTGAGAATGAAGATCATTGACTCTCTACTTACAGGCTGGAAAATGCCCTAGGGAAACTTGAAGATGAAGGCAATTTCTACTCGAAAAACATCAGTCGGATCTTGGACAATTTGCTTGAAGGCTATGACAATCGGCTGCGGCCAGGATTTGGAGGTAAGAAGCTACATTATTGCTATATGAAACACCTTTAGTCTCATTCTCCCTTAACTACCTTTCCAAGACCCAGAGGAATCAGAAAGGAGGGGTATGTCAGAACGGGAAGGGGCAGAGGTACTGGAGAGAGACTGTGTTTGTTCCCATCCAGCCTCGGCCTCTTCTTCAGTTAATGACCTTATGCAAGTTACTTGGACTCTTTAAGCCTCAGTATCCTCAACTGTAGTGTGGGTGTATGATCAATGCTTGCCTCATAGAGTTGTGTGAGTGTAGAATGAGATTCTCCATGTAAAACAATTTTCTTAATATTTACCCATGAAAGCCATCAATATACATTAGTTATTATCATTTTTTATTAGAACTAATCTAGTTCTCTTTTATTCCTTAATGTTCCCCCAATTTGACTAGAATGAATTCAAAAGAAAGCAATTGATATAAGTTTTTAGAGTTGAAAGACCTAAGGACTCCCACTGCTGGAGTGCAATAGGATGGGTTGCAGATTCCGTCCATGAGAAGGGGTTTTATGGTAGAGTCACTAAGTTCAGTTTACTTAACACTCCTGGTGATAATTGCCCCATTCCTCTGGGTTAATTTCAGGTGCTGTCACTGAAGTCAAAACAGACATTTATGTGACCAGTTTTGGGCCTGTGTCAGATGTGGAAATGGTGAGTGTGCTCTGAGCGAGTTGGGTATTTTTACTTAGAGGAGCGGAGAGGAGTCCCAGAACTCATGATAATGGGCACTGCCAACAATTTTGGCTGCAGATTCCCGATACAATATGTGTGTCCCTGCTGAGAGGGCATGGCCATTAGAGTAGATTACTGGCTTAATGTTCACGTTTCACTAAGGGCTCTGCTTGAAGGTTTTAAGCTTAGGGACTTTTTAAGATTATATCCTCTCTTCCATCCATATATTATGCACTGATTCTTCCCTTCAAAGAGATTTTCCCTTTGTGAAGTCCTAGTAAATTTTTTGGAGTATTTAAAAAACACAAAGATTCTATGCCATATAAGAACATATTGATGATATCTATGAAACTTAAAACATAGCTGTTTTTTGTAGCAACATAATTATCAGCATATTTTATTAAACCAGTAAAGGGAGTTATTTGGAAAGGCCAATGCATTCCACCTTTTACATTGCGGATGGACCAGTAGGTGTTCTGGGGACTCTGTTCCAGGTACAGATGGCTGTAGCATTAGTAAGAATGTATTTATAGTAAGTGGCAATGAAAACCTGAACTAGTTTTCTAGAACAAAGTGTATCATGATATTCTTTCACAGTTCTCAGGTAAAATTTCTGCCTGAAACTAAAACATAAATACTAAAGCTGAAATAAACATAATTGTCTTTAAAGAAATGTATCATTAGATTTTGTTAAGAAAATGTAATTCTGGATAAACAGTTATTAGAGACTTTTTCACCTCCTGCTTTATGAGTTGACAAGGAAAGAAGAAAAAAAA